CCTCTTCTACACAACCCTCTTATCTCACCCATACTCCTCTCCTACTTCATTCCACACCTACACACCTACTCCATTAGCAGAACCCAGGGCCAATACGCAGCATTAAAGAATCCAGAAACTGAAAGAAGGATGAGCTAAGAAGCTCTAGGGAAGGAAGCCATTTCTCCACCACAACAGAAATGTATGGGAAGCTCTTGGAAAGGTGTATTTTCACCCCATGAAGCACTCCTTGTGATTTCCCAAATCACAGAGCTTGGAAGCCTGAGAAGTTCCAGGAGGGCCCTTCAGTACACCCAGGCCCAGTTCAAGTGCCTGTCACAGCCCTGTCTTGGGCACAAAGCTCAGCGCTACCTCTGGTATCCTGGCAACCCTACCTCCTGCAGCCCAAATAGACCTTGAGCTTGCTTGAGCGTACCGTTCCATTTTGGACTGAGACAACCTCTCCTCACCTCCCACTGTGTGTGTGTGTGTGTGTGTGTGTGTGTGTGTGTGTGTGTTTCTCCAAAGGAAACTCACTGTAATGAAAAGTATTAGTTTCAAGGGTATTTTTCTGTTGTTTCAAAAGTATCCTATAGCATAAAGCATATTGAGGAAATTTTTTCTTCTATTTTTTAACAATCTCCTGGAAAGTAGGTTGTTCATAGGAAAGCACTTGGCAGAAGATTCGAAGATACAAAAGAGAAGTAAATCTCTCACTCCAACCCAGGAAAGGATACCTCAGACAAACCGCCTGCAGTAGTGAGAGTTGTCCCTGGACCAGCTTCAGAACCAGTTAAAATTCTCAGTGTCCTCCACCCACCCTGAACCTGCCCAGGAGAGGAATGCAGGTTGTGACTCAGAAGTGGCTAGCTGTCGGCACACAAAGCTCACCGTTTGCTTTGGCTCTGCCCCAGGGCTGGCAGGCCGTTACATCCCCGTCTGCCCCTGGCTTTCTTAGGGCCTTGGCTGCTCCACTCCTTTGCCAGTGCCCTCTCCCTACTTTTGTGGCTTTGAATTCCACCAGCCTGGTCCCCACCAATCCTCAGCCAGAAGCTAATTGAAGGCCATGCATTGATGCAGCCAAAAAATGCTTCCTGAGAACCTAGGGTGTGTTAGGCCCTAATGGGAGGATTTTAACAATTCAACTGCATAGCTCATGGGTAGATCATTAGAGAATAGCACCCATCAGGATTTTACCAGAGGCTCAGAGCAGTCAGGGAGACTCACTGTGTCCTGTCCGCATTACCTGGGGCTCCAGCCTCTTCAAGATAGTCTCACCTCCTCCATACATGTGTCTGCGTGTGATTTGGAGAACAAGCACTGCCCCTTCTTTCTCAAGGGGGATTGAAGGCTTGAGGTTCAGAATACATGATTCTGCTGCAAGAAGACCTGGGAGACCTTCCCGGTTGTCTTCAAGGCACACCTCAATCATCGCCTCCCTAAGCCTTCGATCCCACCATATCCACTGTCAGTCACCACCTTCCAGTCTTTTCCTTAAGAGGAGATCAGCGGGGAACATGAGGCCAAGCCCACAACTGCCGCTACATGGCCTATATTCAGTTTCTGGATAAGGGAAACAAGAGGTGCCGCGGTGTCCTTGTGCAGGAGGACTTTGTTCTGACAACTCCCTACTGCAATGGAATGTGAGGAGTCACAGCAGCCTATCCCTCCGAGACCCCTACTTGGACCCCTGTCCTTTCCACAGTGGCTGCATCCAAGTTGAACTCCCCAGGCTCCTGGTATCTCAAAGCACAAGAGATCATGAGAGGAGCCCTCTGAGACCATGACTGGGCAACGAAAAGCTGAGAAATAGGACAGGTTAGCTGGGCTCAGAGGGTCAGAGGTGAGAACCAGTGGCACAGTTGAGAAGATAAGGACCACACTGGCCAAATGCAGCAAGGGTGGTAGATGCATTAGGATCAAAATGCAAACTCAAGGAATGTCATGAATCTGTGTGATGGCAAGGCAGAGTTCCCAGAAGCCTGACCCTCAGTGTCCTTGAGAGCAGAGAGGACAGAGACACTCAGCCCCTGGCCCAATTGTTGCTTGGATATCCCAAAACTGCAGCCCTGCCTCACCTCAGCTATCACCTACCCTTCACCGCTCCTGGGCTGTATTTTCTGAGACTCCACGCCCAACACATCCCCATTCTGCTCTCTGTGCAGCTCAGTCATTGTCACGGATGGGCGGGCCACAACATCAAGGAGCAGGAGAAGACTCAGCAGTTCTGCCAGGTGTCAAGAGCCGTTCCCCACCCAGACTATAATCCCAAGAACGTCTCCAGTGACATCATGTTACTGCAGGTAAGGAAACTTCCAGCTGCTCTTGCTCTTCTGGGTCCAGATTGTTCCTCCTCTCACTGGGACCTCTCCTTTCCTTTTTTCTCATACTGGTCACCTGATCAATCCAGGGCCTCAGTGGGGGAAGCAAGACAGTGCAGCCCCATCGTAGTGTCCAGGCCCTGGGGTCAGGCTGACTTGAGCTGCCTTGCCTCTTCCACTAGATAGAGAGAAATATCAAGCTGAGTATAGCTGTGAAGCCCCTCCACCTGTCCAAGGACAAGGATTGGGTGAGGCCAGGACAGAAGTGCAGAGTGGCTTGCTGGGGCAGGTCTCTCTGATGGGCACTTTACCAGACAAACTGCAGGAGGTGGAGCTGACCATGCAAGTTGACTGGGAGTGTGAAAACTACTGACAAAATTATTATGACCGTGCCATTCAACTGTGCATGGGGAACATGACGGAAAAGTAGCCTTCCTTTCAGGTGAAACAGCTTGCTTTGCTTGGCTCTGAAAAGAAGAGTGTTTGGGGAAGGACAGGGACCTGGAGACCCAAGCAGCGGGGAACTCCTCTGCCCTCTAGCCTGGGATCTTTCTCCCTGGGAAGACAATGCAGAGCAGCCAGAGCTGGGGAGGAATAGGGCCTCTGAGAACTTACTGAGGCCCATGGCCAACTCTTGATGTGCCTAAAGCAGTTGTGTTCTCTGTGCTTTGCTCTGAATGCCACTGTGCAGCTCCATCCCATAGGCTCTACTTACATGACTGCAGGCTTCTTCCTTTTTCAATCTGGGTGAGGGCTTTTGATTGCCCAAAGCAATAGAATCCGGTACAATGGATACCATATGACATCAAAGTCTAGGTAAGAAAAAGAATACATCTTGTGCCTGGGTCGATTTTTCAGAGATGCTCACTCTGCAGAAGCCCACCATCATGTTGCAAGAACAAACAATCCTGTGCAGAGGCCACAGAGAGGAACTGACGCCCAGTGGGCAGCAGCAACAAACACTGGGCATCTGTCAGTCATGCTTCAGCTGATCCTAAGCTCCAGGCTTCAAGCCTCCCCTGACATCCAGGGGGCAAAGGAAACTATCCATCCTAATCCTGAACAAGATGCAGATTCACTAGCAGAATAATTTTGTTGCTCTTCTTTGAAACCACAACTTGGTTCTTTACAAACTGACATAAGCCCTCTTGGGCGTTATTGCCACACCATTGTGTCCATCCCTTTAACCGTGGCTTCACCATCTTTATCTGATCACTGATGGTTTTGTCTCCACCAGATGCAA